ATTGTTAATGAAAAGAACAGAAAACCCAGAACTAAATTGTGATGAAAATAATTTACTATTAAAAAAAACAAGAAATAGAGAAAAACCAGCCATGCAAGAAATGCCATGAATATTATTATATGACCAACCTGTAACAACGTCAAGCTCATAGACATTGCTAATTTGAGGTCCATGGTTAAAAGCTTGCCCACTAATTCCACCATTAGATAAGGTACCACCTACTGAAAGATACAAATAATCTGTCCATGATTTTGGTGCTAGCCCATGCTCTAATGTCCTCCTTAACACATCTATCCACAGCTCCCCTCCCCACACGTCTACGTGCTTCTCCTTTATCGATACTTGTGGCTTATCCAGCTTCCTCAATCCAAGCCGCCTCCCTTTCGAGCCCCCGCTCATTTCAATCACCACCCCGTTACTTGTCTGCGCCTGGCCGTTTATGGAATGCCCATGTCCCCTAGCCGAGACAGTGAATCCAGGAGACGATATGTAAGCCGCTCGAACAAGCCGGGCAATGTCTTCGGCGGAACCGGGGTGCAAGACTGCCATCGGCTCGGCTCGGGTAAGCAAGCCGAAGTCAAGCGACGCCGTTTCGACATCAAACTGGTCGACGCTAAGTTGATCGTCAACCCCAAGGAGTGGTTCCGATGGGTCAACGGTCAACCCTACCGTCACAATTAGACGACAGATAGCAAATGTTAAAAGAAGCTTAGAAGTCATTTTAAGTTTTCTTGTTTTCTTGCTTTGGTCGTCTTGAATGTATGTAGGAGCAAAGAATCCTTTGTGAGGAAAAAATCAAGAAAGTGGTGGCTTAAAGAAGAACAAGAAAGTGGTGGCTTATAGAAGAAGGTATAAGCGGCGGGAGTGGTGGTGGTAATGGAGGTGGGGGTGGGTCTTTATAAGGGTAAGAGGTAAAGGCAGAGAACAAAATCTGGTGACAGTGTTTGTGGTGGTGGAGGCTATCGTGGGGCTAACGTAAGATAGATAGCGCTTTAAAGATTTTCCACGCAAAACATGAAAATTCAGATTCCCTGCTAATCTTCTCTATACTCTTTTTGCACGTTGCACAGAAAATAACACAAGTGAATTAAACGAGGAATCAAGAGAGAAAAAATCTACCACAAAATATTTTTGCAGCAATAGAAAATAAATTAATTTCTTTTGTGTGCTGGGTTAACATAGAGAGAGAGAGAGAGAGAGAGAGAGAGAGAGGAGACTGAGTCTGACTAAAGTGTTTTTGGGTCGTTTGTGTGTTGTGTCTAGGTTATAAGATACAGGTTCTCAATTTATAGGACAAAAATGGGGTGGAGAAAGTTAGAAGGGACACGTGGATGTTCACGTGCGAGAGGTGAGGTGACACGTGTGGAGGAAGATAGTGAGGCAGGATGTGGGGGCCAGTTTTTGAATAGAGGGCCCAGATATGGATACGGAAGATCTACGCAGGGTCGGCTGCAAGGGAGGGTTCACGTGGTAGCAGAGGCCGGACGATGTCGGGGACAAATTGGGCAATTAGTTTATAAATTAAATGGAAATGATCAATTAACACAGTACCAAGAAATTTTAGCGAAAGAGTACTTCTTTCGATGAAAGATCCAATTGCTTTTTTATAAACAATTATCATAGATAAAGGAATGTATTTTTAAACCAGTCGTGGGCATTGAATTGGGTGTCGGGCGGTCAATGTTGAACTCCCAAAAAAAAATATATATATATTTCATTACAACACGCGAGCCAAATGGTTAAAATAGGCCCTAGTCTTGCCATTTTTGGAGATATTATAAGAGTCCTAGCAGTCAAAAATATGACAACAAAAGACGGTCCCAATTCATCAAGTGGATGTTTCTCTGTTAATAATCCATGACTGGTCAGCAAAGAATATGAGGATTCTTGGAGAGATAAGGTATCTAATCCTCCCAAATGAAGAGATAAGGAAGTTTCTTGTTGTGACTCCATCAGCAAATAGTATATAAAAAAACTGAATGACAAAAGAGACTAAAGGGCAGTTTGTCTGTGACACGCTGATGGTACAAGATAATGTTACAAATGGCCATGAAATCACAGCAAACTTTGAAGAGTTCCAGTAACCGAGGATTACACAGTGTCCTTCACATCATAAAGATTTAGAAGATCAATCCAAGATATTCTCAGCTACTAACAGTTGTCAACAAATTGTTGATCAAGGCAGATGGTACGTAGTTCATTTATAATTGCAACTTGTAGTGTTAATGTCTGCCTCTCTTTTAAAAACTAACCATTTAGTTTAAAAACAATAAAAAGAATCTCTCGGCTGCAAAATTGATTTCTTTCTTCTTGGTGTTATAGCAAACAATCCAATACATATAAAACCACATACTTCATCCAACACAACAAAACCAAACTCACCAAAACATGTGCCCATTATCCCTTAAGGTAGGAAACTTCATCACCCCAGGTATCATCTTGTCAAATTATCCATTATGGCATGAACAAGCTTTAGCATCCCATAAATATAAAAAAAAAAATGCATGAATTACTACCCAATTCTCATCATGTTTATCCAAATAATTAATATTTTGCGCTTCATTTCTGATAACAATATAATTTAATAGATATTGAAATATTTAAATTGTTGCATTACATGATCAGGATAATAATATTTAACAATGTTGAAGTAGTACAATGGGACATGTGCTAATCAAATATCAAATCTCTTACGGCATGCAAGCAAAGCTAGAAGTATCAAGTCATTTATATATAACATTCATATAACTTATCAGAACATATAAAAACCTTATCTTAGATGACAAATTGAAACTAAATAATTAATGTTCAAATAAGAAGAAAAACTAATACATTTGTAATACATATTTGATATGACAGTTGTGCGTCCAGCTCATCCCGGTAAAACTCATGGATATAAGTGGAATTTACTGTGAAATCTCTAGACTCACACCATCTTACAAGACAAGCCACAAAATTGGTACCCTTCTTTACATTCAATTTATATAAAAAAACATATTGATTACAATCAATTCTATTTTATTGTTATTTAAAACCAATGAAGATTGGTTTCTAAGTGACAGTGTCAAAAATCTTATTACCTCAACTCTCTAGACACCCAATATGAATATTCTCTTATGACCAGAGCTATATTAATTAACATTCCGAATTATAAGTTAGTATTTAAAATACTATGAATTCTGATAATCAAATAATTTAAAATACATATACCTAAAAAAATAATAGACAACCAATAATTTGTTTTTTATTTCATAGATATGTTTTACATAGTTGTCGATATACATATGCAATCATGACACCTCTCAACTCTAATTATAAATAACATAAAAATCATCAAGTAAATTTCAGAAAACACTACGGTATTGCATTACTAGCAATACTCATGAAAATAAGACAATTAAATTATGTAATATATATGTTCGGGTATGCATAATCAATTGGTCTATTTTTGCATCTACCAAAGGGATCTCAAAATTAATATCCCCTACAACCATTAGCTAGAGGCACAAGTACTAACAGATGGTGACATAAAGTCTCTCTATCAATTGAACTTTCACGGTATGTCACGAGGGTTTCATCTATTGGAGGACAAATCAATATGGTCACATATTGTAATATAGATGTTATCTCACCAACACGAAGATCGAAGGTATACGTCTCGCACCTCTATCGCTTAACCAATGCTGTAATCAATGCATGGTCAAGATGTATATGATACGGCTGACTGGTCTCATAAAAACCAGCTCCGATAACATATGATCAGACATAATCATGCAACTTTATCAAAGTAGTCTAGGTGTTATTAGATTACCTCACTTAAATGAAGCAACTTAGGTATTTAAATAATTAAATCGTTAAAATTGTAATAATGTGCAGTTCTTAATTAAAGTATTACCTCTTCACTCGAAATATCATTAAAACAATGTTGATCCTATTTATATAAACCCAACCTATCATGAGCAACGAGATGGCCCTGTCTGTCGATATCCTAAAAGAAATTGAACCTTTTTTAGTCCGAACCATGTCTCTCTTGAGGTCTTGTATAAAGAAATTACTAGTATTTACAAAATAATTAAACATATATATATTTAAATTAAAAAATAATTGAAGTTTATATAATTTAAAAAAATACAAAAACAATATCATATATTGTCTAGTTTCACAAGTTTTTATGTTATGACCCATTTGATTGCATATCCATATTTATTAAGAGAGTGGCTTTCTCTAACATCCATTTCATTATGTTGATGAGTGGATTTATTTCGACCTTTATATGTATGTCATCTAGCTGGACATCTATATAAATCTAAACAAGTATATACAAGTTACAATGACATATTGTATGATAAGTTAAAAATAAAAACTATATGCATTTTTGTATGACAAGCTGGAATAGAAATCATCAACATATTGTACATAATCTCATTTCATAAAGTGAAATGTACAATTAGGTATATTATACATAATCTCATTTCATAAAGTGAAATGTACAATTAGGTGTAAGCATAGTTGATGATATAGTTGTTATTTATTAGGAGTACAACTTGCTTCATTAATGTTAATGGTTTCTCGTACTTCTCTTGTAACACTAGTTGTTGGAGGTGTTTTAGATTAAAATATCTTATTTCCAAGATCAAATAGAAATATCAAGTATAATCTGGAAGTTGCTTCAATAACAAGTATTTTAGTTAGGACCTTGAAAGTCTACAATATATCATGATATAAAAATTCTTCAACTTTATCCATGTGTTCCATAAAATATTTATTACACCTGAAAAAGATTGTTTGTTATATAGACAAAACAAGTGAGCCATATATAGTTTTTAAAACATTATTAAAAAACTCTGACGAGTTCGTGATCATATTGTCATAATGAAGACCATCATAATCATAACATAATGCCCATTTTTCTTTAGGTTCAACAGTTAACCATGCTCTGATCGCAAGATCAATCACTATCAACTCCTCGTATAAAATGTCAAACTTATGTTTAAAAGGGTTTGTACACGTTTTATGCAACATCTTTTTCAAGGCAATATTTTTTTAACTTTGTGTTGAAGTTATTCACAAAGTATTGTGAACAATATCGATGATATCTAACAGGAGTGAAAAAATTCATGTCATAAAACTCGTAATCACCACATATTTATCTGATATAATACACAACTTGGTCTATCCGTTAATTACATATCAACAAAGAAAATACAAAAACCAACTCTAATTATTGTTTATCTCTTTTTCTATAATAGCAAAACACAACGGATAAACTCCATTATTCATATCATAAGCAACTACAACCAACAATTTAGCTTTGTACTTACTATAAAGGTGAGTACCGTCAATAATAATTAGAGGACAAATAAATCTATAAATTGAAGCACCAAGTGCCCAAAATTCTCTTTCAAATGATGCATTATTGTCATCAACCATTTTATGATCCCAAGTGATAATTGTTCCAGGATTTGAATTGTTGGTTGTCATTATAGTTCAAGGTAGGTTTTAAAATGACTCTTTGTGTGTAATAAAAAACTACTCTAAGATTTTTTGTTTAGCCATTCATGCCATCAAATAAAAACTTTATACTTATAATCCCTCTTCATGGTACATTGAATCGTTGCAACATTTATACTTAATTTCCTTTTTATAATTGTTTTTATCACCCCAATAATTAGATTTGAGTTAATCGAATGATGGCATTGCAAAATGAGAGGGTTCTGTATGTGTATGACCCTTTTAATTTTGAAATTTCTCATAAATAAGACCTTTAGTGATACCTCCCACACAAATACCATTGAGTATTTAGTTTCCAAACACACTGTAACTGAACATAGTTTTTTGTTGAACAATGATCTTGTATTACAAAGAATTATTTATATGCCACCATTTTACTGTATTAATACATCCGGACTTGTCTCTAAATCTTTTCCAAAACTCCAATTCACAACTGATATGCTTTAATACCTATGACTATAAACTTAGTCATTGCATCCATATTGATCATCTGCTCTAACAACCTTAAATTCAGGAGAAGGAGGTGTTATTTATTGATTGACAAGCTCAACTAACTCAACATTCCTATCATCCTTATCATCCCTATTTTCCCTCTCCACCACAACTCTACCAATATAATGTTTATCTTCATCATCACTTAGTTTAGATTCTCTATAGCAATATGAAGTAGATGTGATACCCAACTAATGTTCCATATTAATAATTTCATGGAGTGAAATTTATCTACTAGCACTATTACCAAACCTAGATGAACCAGATGCTCGTGTTACCTGTATAGTTCTCTAAGAGTTACTTAAAACCAAGTCAACTCTATATTATAAGAGTTTTCTTATCCATGTCTACTATGTAAAAAGATTAGCTTTTGCATATTAATTCGATTAATCCTCTTAAATCCAAATATTGAATTCACACTCTCGTTACTGTAAATGGGTACACCGACATAACAAGTTAAATTGATCCCGGTTTGCAAACCCTTCAAGTAATTTGAACTTCTATTCTATACATATTTCAGCCAAGTCAATCACAAAACATTCTCAATAACTCCTTAAGGGACATGTCTGATGTGGCAATTAGAAATTCATGGCTTCTTCCATTATAAATGATACCATTATTAGTATTGATAATAATGTCATTACGAAAGTATAATATTTCTAAATTATCAAATATTTTATCAAACAAAACACATTTCTAATTTATTAATTTATCATAGTTAATTAAAGTGCATTAATTATCAACAAAAATACAATGTTAAAATAATTAGTTAAAACCTGGACTCATCAAATTAATCAACGAACACCTACATTCATTAAATTCCGCTACCATAGCAAGATTACCAATCAAATTCATGTATTTCAGAACTAGGATTATTATTTTATACATAATTCGGTATAATTTATAATTTAATCTAAATCAACACTAACTCTCCTATCATATAATTTTGTTAATTCACAATCAGCAAAAACTAAAAAACATTGATTATTTAACAAAATAAACTAATTATCAACTTGAAATATATATAATTAACCTAATCCATAATTTAATCTAAATCAACACTAACTATTCAAACAGATAATTTTGTTAGTTCACAGTGAATAACAACCTAAAATAATTGGTTATTTAACAAAACAACCAAATTATACTTAATGAACAACTTAAATTACATTTAATTAACCTAATTTTTAATTTAAAATCCTAACATTCAATAAAATCAAAATAATATCAATTAAACACAAATTACATTGAATTAATTAAGAGAAAATGTTCAATATATCTCTAAATATGGAAAGTGGATGGTGAGGGTGACCAATGGTGAATGTTTTAGCCGGAAAAATAAGGAGTCGCCGCTGGCAGAAAGAGAAAGGGATGTTCGCCGCAAGTAGAGCTAGAGAGATATGGGTGATGTAGCTATTATGGGTGTTTTTGGTGGCGGGAATAGGGAGATCCAGGCGGTGGTTACGGGGAGAGAAATGGAGGAGCAAAGAAGAAGAGAAAGGGGTCTTGGTCTTAAAACTGCAAGTGAAAATAAGTTACATTTCTGATTATTTTTTCAACTTAGTTATTTTACTATTTTTTTAACCATGCTAAAAAACAAGAAAACTCACATAAAAAATCAGTACTAATGTGCCAAAATCAAAAGATCTGGACCTAGGAACTAGTCCATTACACAATCTACAAGACTCCGTCGATGTACAAGAGTTAAGTCTCCATCAGAGGCAATGGACAAATTTGAATGATGGCGAGCAGATTAGTGGGGCAAACGTGGAATCGGCTTTAACGAACCAAAACTCTCAGTGGAAAATGGGCTTGAGTGTGGTGTTTTGGCGTGCGATATTACAATGACTGGACGGACTGTTCAATAAACATGTGGGGGCAAACCTACGAGACCAAAGGTTTGGGATTTGACTCCATCGATGCAAACACATTTACTTCCAGGAAACAGTCGACCCACGATTTTCTATATATTTTTCTATATATTTTTTATAGAAGTCCAAGGAAGAACATATTCCCTTGGAGTTCTCTTAGATAATTCCATATATTTTTCTTAAATTTATAAGATATATTTAATTTGCTAATACAGATTACTACACCTGAGGGAAGGCATTATATTTCTCTTTACTCTATTACTTTTTCTTTATTTCTTTCTATTTGAAATTAATTTAATAACTTGTCGTTATGTAAGATTCAATCTTTTTTGAAGGACGAGAAGAGCTTCGTCAAGTCTCTCTCTTTTTTTTTTTTTTCAATCAAGTGGGCTGCAGCCTCAATTCAACTTTTGCAGCCACTCTTTCCTTAAAAGAGGAGGAGGCAAAGTACTGTTCTCACTCCACATATGTCCATGTTGCTCGGCAGCCTCTCTTCCAGCAGCCTGCACGGAAGAAACTTGTTTATGATTTTGTTTTTTGAAGATGGCTGGATTTCTTTAATTATATCAGTGATACGTCAACTTTCTTTAACGCATTGAATCGGAAGAATTTAATATCTTAGCCTCAAATCTATTGGCTACAACTGCCAAGGATGACTGCGACACTTCGCACTACACTATGTTTGCTTTAATTTGAACTCGCATTTTTAAATATAAAAACAGATTACACAGTTATTCAAGAGATTGGCTCTTTAGGGTTGAATGGGAGATTATTACAAGTTATTTTTTTAAAGTTTTTTTATTTAAAAAATAAAAAAATTGAAAAAAACATGATTAGACAATAATCTAAATAGAATTTTATATCAAGTATTGATTATACAATCAATCTACTAATTTGTGACTATTTACATATTAAATGGGTTTCTCAAGCTGTGTAGGACATATACTAACATCAAGATCAATGTGCTCATACATTATTTTTGGGCCACAGGAAATATACAGTTCTATAATTGTGAGATAATCATCTGGACCCTGGAATCAAGAACAATGCCTGTTACTGAACTTGTTCGTATTGAATTAAAAAGAGCAACTTTGGGGTGGTTGGAATGTTGTAGCAATCACGGTATAGATTTACAGCAAGTGGGCAACGCACTCCTCAATTTTATTTTTATTTTTATTTTTTTTACGAAGTGCTTATTCTATTCTAGTTTCCATGGATAGATATAAAAATAATTTGTTGATGGATAACGAAAAAATCCGTTGGGTCCATTGATTCCAGGTGCTCACCCATGGCCCTGTTGTAAACCCCTAGCTATTCCTCTTGGTCAAGGGAGCTGCTTGAGTTTGGAATATTGAAACTGATATGAAATATTGATCGTAGGATATGATTCCATATATGTGAGTGCATTGATTCGAGTGTGAATATTTTAATGGAAGGGAGCGAAAATGTGAGTACAGGAAATAAAATTAACTTTTTTTTCTTCTTAATTCTAGACTAGGAAGAGAAAAAAAAAGAAAAGAAAAGAAGGAAAGATGAAAATTCGAATCACAAATTTTTATCATGCATCCCAGCCCTTGTAATTCGAATCTCAAATTTTTATCATGCATCCCAGCCCTTGTTGTGTGAGGAAAGTATAGCAAAAAAGAAAAGAAAAAGGTTGTTTGTTTTCTTTTATTACATATAAAAACAATTAAAAGCATCTCTCTCATCTTCTTTAAACCAAATGAATTAAATTTAATTTCATAGTTTTCCCTTTTCTCCCCTTCACTCTATTTAATTTCCCTTGCTTCCATTTATATTTAGATTGTACACACTCTTCATCCTGGAAATTATTATTGGTCTACAAATAACGTAACCATTTTAAATTTAAAAAGAAAAAAAAATACTATAATTTAATGTAATGTGTTTATATAGCCTTGCTTCTAATTACTGCACTCGATCCATATTTTAGTATCTGAAGGTCCTGCGTTGAGTCGACGAAAGAAGAGCTGTCATACATGAATTAGGTGATTTGCTTGATAATTCGGTCACGAGGTCATCGCACGTCAATCAATGAACAAGGTTGAAAATTACTAATTTAAGTTTATTTTTGTGTTTTTGAAGTGTTTTAAAAGAAATTAAATTTTTTATTTATTTTTATCTTTGTTTTAAAATAAAATTTTTATATTTTTTAAATTATTTTGATGTGTTGATATTAAAAATAAATTTTAAAAAATAAAAAAATATTATTTTAATATATTTTTAAATATAAAACATTTTAAAAATAAATCCTTACTACTAAACAGTATACAAAACTTATGCTGGCTAGATTTCGCATGCAAAAGTGGACTGGGTCTTGAATTACTGACATATTGTTTTTTTCAAGAAAAACTGGGAATTATGGAGGCTTTAAAATCACATCAAAGTCAACTACATGTATAGCTTGCTTTTATAAAATCTTTGAAAAAATAAAATAAGGTTATTTTAATCCGAAAGGAGTAGTGATCATGGCTTGAGATGTCCCCCTTTCTTTTCTTTAACTCCATCCAAATACCTTAGTTCTTTGCTTTTGGTCGGTTTATAACTTTACACCTAATTTCCAATGCATGATTCCTCGTGCAAAAGGAAATTTGAACAATGTTCCAATCTTTCTCATCAAGATCTTGGTGTATCTCTTTTGTTTTCCCGGCCCTTCGGTATCTACATCTCTTTTCTTTATCATATCATCATTTTGTCTTTCTTTTTAGTTAAAACCCATCTTTTACAGCAAAAGTTCGGCCTTCTTTCTCAATGTGCAAGGCAATATAGGAAGTAGGGACCCTCGCAAACCATCACTTTCTCGACAAAGCTGTTTAAGAAGCAAATCTACCCACTTTTGTGCTAGTGACTTGGTGTTAAAAGGGAGAATCGGCCTTCTTTTTTCCATGCATACCAATTATCCCCAAGATTAGATTCTTCTTCTTTCGTCCAGTTTATAAGGCAGGCTCTATCGCTATAATTTTGTACTAATAAACCCTAGTCACTCAGTGGACTTGATAGGCTTTAGAAAAAGCAGCTTGTGCAATAAATATGAGAATCAAAGTTTGTTTTAATTTCCTTGCTTTTCATTAACGTATCGTACAACCCAGTACAAAGTTTTTAACACCATTGTTACAAAAGTACAATTGCTCTATGATTTTGCTTGCTTGGCCAAGCAATCACGTTGATCTTATTAGCCCTTAGGTTAAATTTTCTTCATACTGGCTAGCAAAAGGGGAAAAAAAACAAGAGGAAGGAAGGCAGAAACATGTTCATTCACACTTGTAGCGAGACGAGTAAAAACAAAAACAAAAAGGAGAAAATTCTAATTAATCAAGTCCATGCCAAGGCCCATCCAAAACTCTTAGCTACAAAACGTTAAGTTTTTATATCTTGATGCTCAATTGAAAAGCGTCGAGAAATTATAGCAAAAAGAAGAAGAAATATCTGACATTATCTTCAGGAAGATATTCGTACTATTATAGCAATTATTAGGACGATAATCTCAAAAGAGAGCTAGCTAGCATACACTAGCAAATGGAACAAAAAGCGGATGAAGAATCGTGAATACAGGCCACGGCCAGCCTCTGCTAACTCAACTTTGTTGAATTTATCAGAATCACACCTGTGAACACACACGGCATCATTTTCTCACCACCATGGTTTGATTTGTGGGCCGCCTACCTACCTAGACGACATGCATGCTGCCACGGATATCAAAGTCGTTAACGTAAGGACGCGGAGCACCGATGTTCAGTAGGAAACTTGAATGGGGTAAAATGAAATTAGTGTAGTAGGAGCAATCAAGTTTCTTTGGTGAGGTGTAGTAGGAGCAATCAAGTTTCTTTGGTGCAGCCCTATCATATCGTATAATTTTGAGGCTCCCTTTCCAATCCACAAATCAATGAGGTTACTTAATCAAGTGTGTTTGCTTTCATAATCGAAGAAGGGCGATTTTTGGATAGCAAAAGAAATATAATTTTGGGAATTTCCTTCTGCGATAAACCACCTAGAGATCGAGGCCGAGAGATATGTCGTCCCATAGACGCTGCACTGGCTTAGCTTGATAACATGCTGATGCATGCATGCGTGCATGGACTGTAAAAATCAGTAGCCACTGTCATGCTAATTGTGAGTGGACGATAATAATTTGGATGATTGACACTCATTACTCACTGTTGCGACGTTCGGGTACATTTTTGTTTCTTGTATTGAACATGCTACATCTAGAAAACAAACATGTAATCAAACAATATATGAACAGTACGTAATTTGATTTGAATGTGGAGTGTTCCTCCCCTCAAGCTAGCAAATGGGTAGGCCAGGGGAATAAAATCGAACAGCAAATCTTGGTCAATTATTAAGGAGATCGATGGCGATACCAGACGGGTGTTATCTATCGTTTCCAGCATCATAGAAGGCAAAATAAATGGTCCCATCTTTCATGTCATGTTCTTCTAATTAATGATCCACTGTATGTATTGACCATGTGAACTCAGTACTATGCTTCGAGATCATGCTGTGGTTGCATTGAAATCCCACCAAATTTGTTTATACTTCGACAGTACGCTACCTAAATTTCCCTGTTTACCGATCTTTCTTCTTCCTCAGATGCATGGGCTGCCGACGCTATGCTTGGACTTATGCTGTGATTGCAATCAAATTCCACATAATTTGTTTGTACCATGACACTACGTAAGGTTCCCTGTTTATTTTTTATATATAATAACCGGGTTATTTGTTTATTGATTTAACTTGCTAGTTAAATAATTTTGTATACTATTTATTTCTTTCAATATTCAAAACTCGTCAAATTAAGATTCTCTATAGTTTTGATTTAACTGTTTTCAATATATGCTACTTTAGTACTACCATTCACCACCCACCTTGGTTTTTGAAAATATTTATTGATATTGTATGTAACATCAATTTATGGATAGATGTATAAATATATATTTATGGCGCCTCCCACGTCCTATATGGGTTCCACCTTTGTTCATGAAATTAACCAGCTGGCTGCGATCATGTCATTAATGTTTATATACGGGACGCATCAGCCTGGTATCGCACAATAATTGTTGATTTGAAAGGCTGTTCAGACCTTATTTAGACAGCCAATGATTCCATGTACGATAATGGGACAAAAAAAAAGCTAGCGTAATTCTTCATTTCACATTTTTTTTTAAATCTCGAGTCTCACGCATGTCTTAGTCAAGCTAGCAACATGCCGTTCCCACTAATTTTAATTTCTCTTAAAAATTATATTATCTACTTTCTATCTATGTATCTTAGTGTTTCAAAATATAAAGTATGGATTAAAAACACCAAAATATTTCTGGTTAAATAAATCTATTTCTTTTGCAGTTTCAAAGTAAATTTATCTAGCAAACAAATTTCATATTTGGTGAAGTTATTAGGTGTAGGTATGTCAATAATAATAAAAAAGAACCTTGGAGTTCCTTGGAAACCATGAATATTCAAATTATTTTTGTGAAAAATATATATAAGTTTGGTAGGATATGCGTGTAACGTTCAAGATTTGTTCAAGATTGTGGTTGATGGTTGACGGGATGTATGATGTCAGAGGAAGAATTATTTGAGAGATTTGGCTTCTAGTTTGTGGTCTCCTAAGCTTCTTGGAGTGGGTACCTGTTAATGGAGAATCGTCTTTTCATGCACGACTTGTTTATATGTTTACAGAGGAAGGATTATTACAGAGATTCGCTTTCTTTTTGTAGTCTCCTAAGCTACCTGTAGTGGCTGCCTATAAATAGAGAATCGCCTCAGATTCTTTATAACCGAGGATAATTCATGCGTGGAAAGTGTTAATTGATAGTTATTCTTTAAAGTGTGTTTTATATTAAAATATACTTAAATAATTTTTTTATTTTTTAAAATATTTTTTAAATTAGTGCATTAAATGATTGAAAATATATAAAAAATTAACTTTTAACTAATTTTTTTTAAATACGGTTTACATTATATTTGCAAATATTTGTATTTAATTATCTTTTTAGTAACTCTTTTGATTCTGAAACAACTAATAATAATAAAAATTAATAATAGAATTTTTTTTTATTCCCTCTTGTTTTTCTCTCCTTCTTCATCTATCTTTGTTTTGTAAAATAAATATTAATAACTATTTTTAAAGTATTCTAAGATAAAATACTTATTTTATACATGTAAACCTTTCGGAATAATATTATTCTGTTTTGAAATATGACTATTCTATTAATGTAAACAACACGCATATCAAGATAACTA